CACAGAGGAATAGTACTGTGTATGCATCACTTTCAAAAGAAACAATTCATCATATCCTACGCTATCTTCTCATACAATATTATTGTTAAATAAAATTCTGTTTGTTCATGATTGACTTGGCTTTAAAATTAAAAAAGAGGCAGTATATAATGTTCTGTGTATATAATGATCTGTGATGAAGGTGATTGTCGGAGGAGCGAGACCGCGTGGTAGACCTAAGCAACGCTGGATGGACACGATCAAGGCCGATCTAGAGATCGCGAAGGCAGACCCGACATACGTGGCAGACAGAGAGGCGTGGAAGCAGTACTCAAGGACATTAGCGGACCTCGCCAGAGCGCGAGACAAACGCTGAAGAAAAAGAAGAAGAAGAAGGCAGTATATAATGTTCATAAACACTCCACACACACACCCCACTCATCCATATACAAATGCATATCTAAAGTATCGGAGTTCCAAGAAAAGAACAGACAAGATGCCCAAAAGCACAAGAATCCTAAATGAGAATAAGATCCAAGCTTAATATATGGATTACATATATTGGTGGCAGCAAAAAAAGTATAAAGAATAGTTTTATTTCTCTTTTCCCCCATCTTCCCCCACCCCCCAAAAAAATATGAATTGGAATGCATTATACTACTTCTGTCCAAAAAAATCTTCATTTTAGCACAGTGACAACTGCAATTACTGCTGAATTATCAGAAATAAAAGAAAAAGAAGAGAGCAGTTCCACAAATTCATTTATGCTTTTCTGCCCTAAAGAATAAGCATACTTTTTGTAAATCAACTACATTGTTGTGTTAATTCCAGATTCAGAAATATTCTGCCTGTCTTCAGATTTCAGTGACCATAAAAAGACACAGAAATCAGAAAGGAAGAGAGCCAGGCTTAATGCAATGATTCCACTGTAGGGATGTGTATTGGATTTGTCTATACTCCAAATGGGAAGCAAATGGGATTATATAACCAGAGGAGATGAAATCCAATCTCACTGGAAGGATCCAAGCAAACCCTGGAAGCTTTGTGATGCTTTCCCTTTCTGTAATCAGACATGCTGACTGCAGAAATGATTGCAACCCCCAGTTTTCTAACATGCCAGGATGGCAAAAGGCAAAAAAGTAAGGAAAAAAGGAGACACATAATAGACTTACAGATAACTAGAGTTGGAAGAGACCTTGTAGGTCATCTAGTCCAACTCCCTGCCCAAGCAGGAGACCCTACACCATTTCTGACAAATGGCAGTCCAATCTCTTCTTGAAAGTCTCAACTGATGGTGCTCCCACAATTTCCGAGAGCAAGCTTGGTTTGATTGTTCTCACTGTCAGAAAGTTTCTCCTTATTTCCAGGTTAAATCTCTCCTTGTTCAGTTTCCATCCATTATTCCTTGTCTGGCTTACAGGTGCTTTAGAAAATAGCTTGACCCCTTCCTCTCTGTGGCAGCCCCTCAAATATTGGAAGACCGCTATCATGTCTCCCCTTTACTAGACTAGCCAAGCCCAGTTCCTGTAACTGTTCTTCTATGTTTTAGTCTCCAGTCCCCTAATCATCCTGGTTGCTCTTCTCTGTACTTTTTCTAGAGTCTCAACATCTTTTGGTGACCAAAACTGGATGCAGTACTCTAGGTGTGGTCTTACTAAGGATTTACAGAGTGGTACCTCACTTGATCTTGATTGTATCTCTCTATTAATGCAACTTAGGATTGCGTTGGCTTTTTTGGCTGCTGCTGCACACTGCTGGCTCATATTTAGCTGGTTGTACACTAAGACTCCAAGATCCCTCTCACAGTTACTGCTATTGAGCCTGATTTCACCCAGTCTATATGTATATTTTTAGTATAAAACTATGTTCTAATCACATGGAATAGAGTAAGCATGGGCTTTCAAGTCACGGTGCTTTGGAACAGACTTTTGCATTCCTTTTTCAAGACTATCTCCACACCACTCGATAGTTCTAGCTCTTAGCCAGAGAAATTAAGGATGCTATATAGCATGAGTCTCCAACCTTTTGACTTGCCTGGACCTCATTAGGAGAGGAGTGAAGGTCTTGGACCACATATAAAATGTATTAAATAGTATCACTTTTTAAAACAAATCACAAAAAAGTAAGGTTAAAAGTTGTGGGGTCACATTACTAACTATCCAGGCCTGCAGGTCATGGATTGGACATGCCTGCTGTATAGGATTTGGTTTTCTCAAAAATATTTAAGTTCCAGCTTGTTGTCCATCTTACTGCAGTTTATCTGCCCTTCTTCATTAATTAGGAAGCTGCCCTTCTATGGCGCCTAAGAGAATCAAAGGTAAAACTTTCGTGTTTAGAAAGATTCATTCCTTGAACTATTACTAGATCCCAGTAAAGACAGTTGTCAACATCAGCATATTGTATGTGAAAAGAGAACAAAGAACAATGTTAGCTTCTGAACACCTTGGCATCTCAGAAAGTATAGCCTTGTAAGTACGGCTCTAGCGCAATAGGATCAAAACAAGCTTAAAAAGTATCTCCTGTTATATTCAGTTATCTGTGTTCAGGATTTTTTTTTTTGTACAAAGTAGTATTTAATGAGACCAGTTATCTCTGGCAGTGTTTGCATTCTATGCACAAATGTGCAGCCAAAATGGAGGCAGCTGCTGTTTTGCTGAGCTAGGCAGAGATCTTTCAAAAATAAGTCAGACACAGGAGAACCTCATCAGAGACTTGGCTTAGGAAAATGGTGTCTGGCTGTTTCCTGTTTCCATTTTTCCTCCAGTCACTACTTGTTAGTAAATATATTTAACCACTATCAAGGGAGAAGATTATTAAGCCAATTGCAACACTGTATATAATTATGCGGTTTCCTATATAAATGCTTGATAACAACTGTGCTTCAAGGGTACATTGGACTACTCAGGTAGGCTCTTAACCTCAGAGCATTTCATCTATATCTATATATCTATTTATCTCTATATCTGTCTCTATCTATCTATCTATCTATCTATCTATCTATCTATCTATCTATCTATGTTTTCGTAGATTTTCACGGATACAGGTATGTAGGTCTAGGTGTGTTTGGGTCTTTTCCCATGTAAGATTAAGAGTATCTTGATGATGTTTCAGCGAGGTCCCACTCGCCATCCTCAGGCTGGTGCTTTCAGCTTCGTGCCAGTGCAAGCAGTGTGTGATCGGAGTTGCCGTCTCTCTATAAATACTGGTGGTGGGGGCTGGTGTGCTGGGCTGGTTGGCTGCGCTGCTGCCTCTTGCTATATATACATAGATGTATGTATGTATGTATGTATGTACGTACGTATGTATGAAATCAACTTACTCTAGCTTCAGAAGCATATATATTGGTAGTGTTTAAATCATCAGAAAGTTAAAAAAAGGCTGCAATAATTCATTGTTTTTTAATAATACTTTAATAATTCATTTTTGCAAAAGCTAAAATTAACATTTAGTGGTGGCTCTTTTGTACATTTTGGTTACATGTAGTCCTGGAAGGAGAAAATAGCATAGCCTTGTCAATTTCACCATTTTTTTAAACAGTGGTCAGTCCATCCGTCTACCCTTCCTTCCATCAGAACATTTGGAGGAAAACAAAACCTGCCTACTCATTGTTCCACTGGTGAGTTTGTAAAAATATTTTGATCCTGGAGGGCAGCAATCAATGTCAAGGTAAATAAGGCCTTCTACCTTTCCTTCAGTCTTTCCCAGCATTAGAGCCTTCTCAACACAACTAGGTCTTTGCATAAGATTGTATTCAGAGTACAATCATTTGAGACTTTGTGCCTTACATGCGAATTCTTGATTTATTTGTTCATCCATTTCTTTGAGGGGTTGTTGTTTTGTTTTTTGTTTTGGCTATCCATGGCATTCTCAGGTTTCCAATACCAAAATGTAAGAATCAAATATTCTTCTTATCCTGTTTCTTCAAGGTCCAACTTTCATTCCATATAATCTCACAGAGAATAATATGTAGTATTTTGTAGGAATATATGTAGGTATTATATTGTAGGCATATTCTTTTCCAAAGTCTTCAGGATGCCCCACCAATACTACTCTGCATTTTAATTATAGACTGTTAATTTCCTGTTGACGGTTGATCCTAAAAGGCAGAAGATATTCCCCAAAATTTTCACTGCCAATTCTAATATTTGTTCTACCAACAGCAAATGTAAATGGTATAATTCAAAAAGTGTTAAAATATGAGTGTCAATTGTTTCCAAAATGACTATGAGACTTAATTAATGTGTATAGAGGCTGTGTTTCTGCCTGGAAATTGAAAGAATTGTGGTTCCTTATACAAAGGAAAGATAAAAAGAATAGATGCAAGTACTATAGACAAGTTTATTAAATATGCCTAGGAAAGTGTTAACAGAAGTCTGATTGAAAGGGTGAAGAAAAGATAATGAACAGGATTTGTGAAAGGTAGTATAACTACATTGGGACAAGATTGTTCCAGCCAAAAGTTTTGCTTTCAGTTTTAAACTGAAAAGAGTATGAAAATGTGGAAAAAATGATTTGATTTAGAGAAATTGTATTATTTGTTTGTTTGTTTTTGTATAGCGCCTTTAATATTTTTACAAATAACTCAAAGCAGCAAACATTTCCAACACACCTTCGTCTTCATCTTTTTCCCACAACAACACTGTGAGGGGAGTTGGGCTGAGAGAAAGAGAGAGTGACTGGCCCAAAGTCACCCAGCTGGCTTTCATGGCTTAGGTGAAACTAGAACTCACAGTTTCCTGGTTTCTAGATTGGTGCCTTAAACGCTAGGCCAAGCTGACTCTCAAGTTCAATAATAAAGTGAGTGAGCTTGAATTATAAACTTCAGTGAAGCATATTTAAATCATCATAGTGTTATTACCACAGGTGCAGGGTACCACTTTTTAGATCAACAAACATTAAATATTTATTTTAAAATAATTCAGTAAACATCAAAAGTTAACGAACATCAATATAGTAATCTTAATTTCTTCTTTCTTTCTTCAAACCCTTGGAAGGAAAAAAAAAAAAAAGGACGGGACTACATGATTGGACAAAATCAGACCCAGGTGACTGAATTCATCTTTTCAGGATTCACAGAGCATCCAGAATTACAAGTTGTTCTCTTTAATATATTCTTGATGATTTATATCATCACACTGAGTGCAAATCTTGGAATGATCCTGTTGATCAAGATGGATCCCCAGCTGCATACTCCAATGTACTTCTTCCTCGGCCATTTGGCATTCTTGGATGCCAGCTATTCTTCAACCGTTACGCCCAAGGCAATGGCAGATTTTTTAGCTGACAAGAAAACCATTTCATGGGCTGGATGTCTTATACAATTTTTTATGTTTGTTGCATTGGTGACCACTGAATTGTTTTTGCTATCAGTCATGGCATATGATCGATACGTGGCCATTTGCCATCCATTGCTTTATTCCAGAATTATGTCCAAAAAGTGCTGTGTTTCCTTGGTAGTTGGCGTCTATAGCTATGGATTTGTGAACTCCATAATCCAGACAGCATTAACATTCCAATTATCCTTCTGTGGTCCAAATTTAATTAACCACTTTTACTGCAATGACCCACCACTTCTAGCTTTATCCTGCTCTAACACTCAGCCAAAAGAAATCCAGCTTTTTGCCTTGAGTACTATCAATTTAACTGGATCCCTCTTCACAGTCATCATCTCCTATATCTATATTCTGAATGCCATCTTTAGAAAACATTCTACTAGCGGAAGGCACAAAGCCTT